CCCCAAAACCCCAAAACCCCAAAACCCCAAAACCCCTACAAACCCTATAACTATTGAGAATAAAATTATTTATCTAAATGGAGAATTGGAGACAACCCAAAAAGATGAGGAAGATCTTGAGCACCCCTAAGATTTCCTTCAAAAACAAAATCGGAACCAGAAATAGGTACTCAGTAATCAGCAGGGCTGGAAGAGAGCAGATGAAATCCATCACATTGGAGAAGTTAGAGAATATTCGGCCTCAGAAAGACTTAAAAATCACCCCTGCACCTTTTATTATCCAAAAGAAATCTCAAAGGCCTAAGATCAATCGGAGAAGGAATCTCTCTCTTGAGCCTCCAAAGAAGACAGCAGGTAGGTTTCGATAGATTCTAAGCTTATTGTACTGATTTTCCTGTATTTAAATACTCCATTTGCAATTGTTTGGGAATAAATCATATTAGTAGTAGAAAACAATGCAAATATTTGAGCTCATAGCCATCTGAAGCACTAAATTTGTAATGCCAGGTCCACTCATAGTTTACTTGAGGAGTTGATATCTATTTTAGCATCGAATTTTATGCCGTCTCTCTAGGAGCTTCTTAAAGAGGTGACAACCTAGAGGGTATATTAGAGCATGGACTTACTTCTCTAACATTTCTTGTAGAGATCTTCCTTACAAACTACTTCAAAGAAAATAAGGCTAAAATAAGAGAGTATCAGATTGATTACATCAAAGATATGCTTGAGGATAACTTTCATGATTCATCAGTGGAAAATACCCAGCGTAGTATCCCTGAGAAATATGTAGGCAAGAAGGCATTACAGGAATATTATAAGAAATACCAGAAGTTCAACCGGTACTCTGACAGAATTGAGGACTCTCCTGGTAATTTTTAAGTGTATTAACTTTTTCTAGTCAAAAAGTACATGTCAAGACTGCATGATTCCAACTTGCCAGCTATTGCTATCCCAATGATTAAGAGGAGAGGCAGCCAGGAGGAAATGAACCTCAAGAATTTACACCTTGGAAAACAATACATTTCAGCTCTAAGCAGCTCAATGCAAGGACTTGATTTAAAATAACGTCATTGTCTCAGGAGTGAAAAATAATGAACAAGGCATCTCTGAAATGTTTGAAAACCTTCCTAAAGGAGTTCAGAGCTTAGATGCCTCTAGTAGCTCCATTGGTTTACAAAGCCTGGATAATTTATATTTTTGGCTTAGTAAGGGATATAAGAAATCAAGCTTGAAGCTTAGGCATCTTAATCTGAGCAACAACAAAATTACTGATTCTTTGGGAGAAAGATTCTTTACAAAAATGATATCAATAGATACAAATATCAAGGCTCTGAATCTTAGTAAAAATCTAATTGGGAATAAGACCATTACAAAGATGGCTGAATGGATCGAAGGAAACCCTTCTTTGAAAGTTCTCAACCTCAGCTGGAACAGGATCGGTGAATCAGGAGCTGTGGAATTCCTTTCAGCTATATGCACTCTAACTTTAAGAGACCTCAATCTAGCTTATAACCGAATTGGCCTTGGTGGATCTACGCTTGCAGTAGAAGCTCTTTTAAAATTGATAAATGAAGGATATCTCCGCCATCTTGATATCAGTTATACAAATCTTGACCAACAACAATGTAAAATTTTTGGTGAGGGGATTAAAGAGAACCATACCTTGTTTGGACTCCATATGCAAGGGAATCAATGTTATATCGATTCGCATGGATTTCTCAGACAAGATGTGCAAGCTCATATTACTAAATATTGTGACTCCTCATTGATGTTCCCTCATTCAGTCAATGGGCATTCCTCAGTAGTAAGCCTCAAGTCAAAAGGACAATTCGTATATGAAACAAAATGATGGATCTGAGAAGGGTGGTCTGAGAAGACATTTGTTATAAAATAATGGGAGATCTATGATAAATCTTTCAGACCCTGTATATATCCATTTCAAGTTTAATAACTATGAAGCAGAGTTCATGAAAAAGTAAGTGTAGATTTTCTTCACTGTGCCTATCTTAATTAAAGATTATACGAATTTGTCTAATGATGTTAAATTTAGAGTTCCAAATAGCAGTACAGGACTCGCAAGTTACGAATATACATGAATGGTGCCTCCAGGAAGGATAAATTACTTTTTTAGCTCTAATAAATATCCCTATTTTGCTAGGGATCATCCAATCCAAAGGGAAAGACTGATAGCGACTGATATTCAGGTTTATGACACTAAGAAATCATTTATAATGAGTAAATACAATTATGATTGTATTGATCAGTCCCCAGTTCTGGATGACAACTACCAATCAGTTTTAAAGGAATGATATCCAAGAAAGAAGAAAGAGGTCTATGTGCCGATAGACCATGGTGTTGAGAGACCTCCTTGGAAGTTTGAAGAGTCCGTATTCGCTCATTACCAGCCTGAAACACAAGACTTAATCGACCAAATCTTTGAGTGTGACTGGAGCATGATCTCTAGCAAAAAATTTAAGATACCTGAGGAAGGAATTGCTGTGAAGCAAATTTTAAAGGAGAATTATTGGAAAATTCTTGAAATTTATAGGTATCAGTCTGCCATCGGCACTACCATAGGATCTTCTTGTTTCTCTATATCTTTAAACCAGTTCACTGAGTTTGTCAAGTCGACTGGGATCCTTGGTATGAAAGGAATCAATCAGAGTGAAATCGATACTATTTTCATCATTTTGAACAAGCGGTATAAGAAGACTGAGCTTAACCCAGGAAATGCTGTTATTCGTTTCCAATTTCTAGAAGCCTTGCTTAAGCTTAGCCAACGTAAAGCATTCAATAGCGTGAAAGCAATTGAGATAATCAGAGATTTTATTGAGAATTGTGTCATCCCTACACACAAACAGCCAATTGCCCAGGAATGGAGAGAAGAAAGATACTGGAATGAGTTCGTAGATAATGTTTACAAAGCCCATGAAGACCTCTTCAAGGAGGTATATAGAGCCTATTCTGGCTCAAAGTCACTCCCTGGCCAAGCAAGGTTCATGGACGCAACAGAGTTTGATAATATTTTCTCAGATTCTTGCCTCCAGAATGAGAGGATATCAAATAGAGAAGTCAACGCTTGCTTCTCTTTAGCCATGCAAAGTCAGATTGATGAAATAAAATCAGCTAGGTTCATGCAGATGAATTATATTGAGTTCTTAGAAGGACTAGCGAGGTTAGCAGATATCATATCTCTTCCTCCTCCTTCTGAGGAATATAAGATGAAATTCCAGACTTTACTTGAGACTAAGAAAACAGTTAGAGGTTCCTCATCGATCAGGCCAAAGGCTGAAGAGATTTCTGAAGAGGATGAAGAAGAGAAGAACTTTTATGGAATGAGTCTTGTTGATCGAATCTCTCAGCCATTACATAAGAAGATTGAGAATATCCTTCCAAATCTTCTGTTGAACTGCACGACTAACAGATTCAAGAAGCAGTGGGTATGGCCTACTAAGCACCCAGACTACGACCTTTATGAAAATAAGAACTATAAAGTAAATGTAATCCAGAAGATTATATCCAAGAATATCAGTAAGACATTCTTCCAGATGTTAGGAATTGAGAAGATAGTTAAAGAGGCCGTTCGGAGGAAGAGAGAACAGCTGCATACCTCCCTTGCTTTCATTTCTACTTAAACACCCTTTAATTCAATAAGGATTAACCTTCCTGGGGTTTTGGGGTTTTGGGGTTTTGGGGTTTTGGGG